TCCAGGGCCATTGCAGTGCTTTTGAAAATGTCGAGTGGACACACTACAGAAAATGCAGGAGGTCCCCTTGTTCACAATTCCCCACTTGGTTTCATCCTAGACCTTCCCAGACTAGAGCTCTATGGATCTGAAGTACTTCTTTGGTGGAATATTCTTCGCATGGCGAGCATGTAACATTTTGAGTTTAAACAGGAGAACATACTATATTCCCTCATGCTTTCCCACTCTGTTAAATAAATGAGTACACACTCGTGTGTGTGTGTGTGTGTGTGTGTGTGTGTGTGCCTTAGGCAGGTGAGGTCATATCACAACTGCACACGTAAGTCTGCTTGTTTTGCTGTATAATTTAGAGCTCCTCCTCCTTTTTTAGACAGGGTCTCACTCTAGCTCAGACTGGCCACAGGCTCACTGTTCTCCTGCGTCGGCCTCCTGAGCTCTGGGACGACAGGTGCGTAACACAGTGCCCAGCTCCTCTCCACCCTTCTGATAGTTCACAACGCTGCACCCTCTGAAAACACAACTCTTCCTCTCTCTGCCCTAGAACTTCTCTGTTGACACACAGAATGAAAGCAACCAAACGGTTGCTCCATGTGCAGCACATTTTTTGTTGTTGTTTTAACGAATGATACCAAGTTGCTGTCCTTAGTGACCACGCCCGTTCATTCAATCCTCCCGGAAGCTTTTCTCGAGCTTGCACATGCCCTTCCTGCTTGGGGCGACCTTACTTATACTCTTACAAGTACACATAGGAAGGCAGGTGCGTGCTGCGGCCCCCGCGAGTGCGTGCGCAGGTGCCCGCATCCGGGCGGCCTCACGAGTGTGTGAGATGGCGTGGTGACAGGCTGTGCAGCGTCGCAGGGGGCGGGAAAGCTCCCCTGACAAGACAAGTGGGGAGGGAGGTGCGGGCGGCAGCCAAGCTGAAGGCAGGCAACTTAGATGCGCTTGGTCCTCTTCTAGCTTCTCCAACAGCACAGTGACAATTTATCTGAGCTCTCACCCAGCGCTTCCTCTGCAAGACCCGGCTGCCCTTTTCTGGTTGAACTCTCTCGCCCACGAAGGTCACCGGAGCTTGACAGTGGCCTGCGTCATCTTCATTTTCAAGACTCCCAGCAAACTGAAACAGCGAAATGGCTAGCAGGGTTAGCAAATTTTGCCTCTGAACAAATACGTGGTCCTAACAAATACAGAACAATGTTAACTGCACTGGTCGAAGATAACGACAGGATTTACAGAAGTATCAATTCGTAATGTACTCCAGATGGTCCGGTCCAGGAATGGAGCACACATTCACAACTACCTGAAGAATAGCTTTCTTTTTCTAGTCCGCCACGGTGGGGCTGCAACCAGATGAATAAGTGCCCTTGGGAAAGGCTAACTCTGAGCCACTTTCCAAACGTGAAGTAGGACAAATGTCTCCCGGCCTTCTCCGACCTACGAAAGCTCATCTGCTGTGGGCAGACAGCAGAGGACCATGTCCTGTTTAAGCCTTGGTAAATCCCGTGCTGGTGCTGACGACCAGCACCTCGAGCAAATCTGGGTGCATTTGATGGTTTCCCAGTGTGTGCGTTTTGTTATATTTTAGTAGAATAAAGAGGAAAAAATGCTGCATGGCCTGTGGGGCTGTGAAGGGGAGAGGTGATAGAGATGATGTAAGTTCTAGACAGCGCGGGTGGGGGTTGGGCTCTAGGTCTAGAGGTGGGTTCCAGGCCGGGTGGATTTCGGGGACCGGGTTGAAAGGTGGGTCCTAGACCTAAACGAGGCGGATTTCAGGCCACAAGAGCGATGAATTCCGGTACGCAGGAGCAGTCGGTTCTAGGGCAGGGACAGATGGCTGGTGGGCAGGCCATCCCACTCCCGCTCCCAGATCCCACCCATGCACGTCTCCCTGGAGCCCGCGATGCACCCCAGAGCCGCCAGTTTTTGTCTCCACAGGCCTCTCCGGGGCCCGTTCCCACTGCCTCAGGTCCCCAGTCAGACACACCAATCCCCCAGTGGTCCTTCCTGCCCCGCCGCGTGGTCCGCCCGTGGCGAGACTGGGACCCCCAGGGGGCGGGGGCCACGCTGGCTCCGGCTCGCCCGAGGCCAGGCACAGGGGTCACAAGAACGAACGGCTTCTCCGTGACCCCGTTTGACTCGCGGCTTCATTCCAAGTGCCCGCGAAGTGTACGCAGGTCGG